TATATATATATATATATATATAAACATCCGATGACATGCATGTTGCTTGTGTTAACTTCGAGGACTACTCTCTCTCTCTCTCTCTCTCTCTCTCTCCCTATATATATATATATATAGGGAGAGAGAGAGAGAGAGAGGTGGAGAGCACATGAGGGTGTGCAGGAGAGGAGAGTGACGATGATGATAATTGTAAAGATACGTGCGTTTGTGTGTGCAGTTCGAGGCGTATAGAAGCACCAGAACCACCCTCCTATTCCACCCACTATCTCCCACTCCACTTTTTCCCACTTTTATTTTATTTTAAACCCAAAATTAATTAATTAATTAACTAATTAATTAACTAACACTACACCATTTCCAATTCTTTTCTTATTATTTAATTAGATTAATTAACACTAATAAAAAAATAATTACAAATTATTACTGTAACTAAATAAGTAAATTATCCAGTGACATACCCTTTTCTTAAAATAGGAATTTCGAATTAATTTTTTTTTTTTTTTTTTTTTTACATATTCTCATTTAAAAATTATTAATTTAATTTATTTAAGCTTACTTGACCAAATTAAACCCTAAAGCTACACCAAATAAATTTGTTTATATATATTTATATAGATACACACATGCACATATAGTGAGAGAGAAAGAGAGGAGGTTGGAGTAGAATCTAACCGGGAGACATGAAGAGAGAGAGAGAGAGAGAGAGAGAGAGAGAGAGAGAGAGAGAAGGATTATATATGAACACAAAACCCTATTAGGCTGCTGCTATACATGTGTATACATGTGTGTGTGTGTGTGTGTGTGTATGTATATGAATATGAATATTATATATGAAATCTGACAAGATGATTCCCACACTTGTAGCTTCCAAGACTATAGACGATAAAAAGAAGGAAAAGAAAATAAAAAATAGAAATAGAAAATGGGATATATGCTCTTCTCTTTTTTCTTCTGCGGCTCTGATCGTTTACCATTTTCTACATACCACGAAATTACAAAATTCTTCCTCTCTGCAGCCTTTTCTACACATGCAACATCAATCACCCCTCCTCTCTCTTCTCTAATCACCTTTTCTTCTCTTAAATATTAATTAATATATTCATATATTCACATATATATATATATATATAGAGTTCGAGCGTATATACATACATTTACAGAAAGAGATAAACTAATCATATACATACCATCTTCGAAATGAATAGAGATAACCAAAAAAAAAGAAAAAAAAAACAATTTAGTTAAATATTATTTGAATAGTTAAAATAAAGTAATGTACCTCAAAGTCATCATGCGTAAACCCTACCTCCAATACACACACACACACACACACACACACACACACACATATATATATATATATATACTATACATATAATCCTTCTTTTTTGACCACCAGACAGACATGCACTCATCATCGTGTCCTGTATATCTCTGTTTCTCTCTCTTGTCTCCCCTTGCCTAATGCTCTAAGGCATGGACAGTCTTTGTGCTTCAATATTTAACAACTGGCCAAATTGGGTTTGTGCTTATTAATCAATTGGGTTCTTTAGTTTAATATTAATTCACCCATAATTAATATATACACACACATATATATGTGTACGTACGTGTGTAAGTATGTGTATTTGGGTTTTAGATGATGAAGGGTTTGTTTGGTTTGGTTTTATTATGTTTGTTTAAAGTGTTGTTTTTTGTATTGTCTCCAAATGCTCGCGTACTTGAAATTCACATTTTGTTTTTCTGTCAACTAATTAGCTTTTTAAACTTTTATGTTGGCTTTTACTTCACAACAAGTATGTACAGTGTATCTTTCTACCAAACGTTACTTAATTTTTTAATTTGATCTCACCTCATCACTAAATTAACTTCATATAATTATATTATTAAACACTAATTATATATATATATATATATATATATATATACAGAAGATGGGTAAGTTTGCACAGCCACTTTTCAAAGCACCAACATGCCTGCATGCCCTAATTTCAATGGTCTTATTCCTAATTAATTATGTTATTTAACTAATTAGTCTATTAAGTTTGTCTCTATTTGATGAATTGATGGTCACCAATAGAGAATTAATGTTTGAAAGGTACTTTTCCAGCACTATATTATATAGTTATGTCTCACATATATATATATATAATTTAAGTTTTATATATATATATAGATTACCATGAGAGTGGCAGCCTATCTTCCAATTTCCAATATGTATACCACCTCATGATACATTGTATGTAGCCAAACTATACTTGTTAATTTATATCATGAATCCAATATTTGGGTATAAATGAAATGTTACAATTGTCTCTTCTCATATACATATATACAAACATGTGTATATGTATACAAACACATATGTATATATGCATTCATACATTTTTAATCATTAAATAAAATAAGAAAAGAGTATAACTCTCACACACACACATGTATATATACATATGTGGGTAGAATTCACTTCTTATTTAAGTGAGAAAAGCTTAATATTGTGCCAAATCTAATTATAAAAGAAAATATTATGAAGAGATTAATTGAAAATTAAACCCATATTAATTAATAAGGATCCAAATGAATTAATTAAAAATTATTATATAATTGCAAAACAACTTTTCCTTTTCAAACTGGATTAGACATAAAGAAAAAAGTACTACATGAGAGGTATCAAACAATATATTGTACATAAAAAAGATATATATATATATATATGTATGTATGTATATAATTAAGTAAGAGGAAATTACTTATATTTGTATATATAACAAAAAGGAGCTAGGGTTATCATGCCTCCTTATTCATTGTCAAAACCACGTTCTTTGCCTGCTTTTGGTCACTTTAATTTTCATGTCCAAAAATTCGCATTTCAAATTGAGGAATACACACACACACACACACACATATATATATATATATATATGGTGTATGATATATAAATTATGATGTAATAAAAAAGAAATGTATGTTGATGAAATTATGAATGGGTTGGTGATGATGTACATTTTGTAGCTTTACACTGTGTTTGGATGTACTGGCATGACCCATTGAAATAGTCATCATTATAATGCAATTTTTGTAACATTTGATGAGAAAGACAAAGTGCCCACCAAACAGGAACACCCATGTGTGTTATGCATGTACATATTATACTCCATCATGTATCATAAATATAATTATTTAAAAATAAATAAATAAATAAAATAACGAGAGAGCCAAAAGACAAATCAAATAAGCAAAGAATAAAAATATATATGGGTGTCACACATATATATTATATTTTTAACCCGTTATAACTATTTTAATCAAACAAATTTATTCACTGTAGAATTTGCCGGTTTAATTTACTGTAACTATTACAGTACACCAATAAGATAGACTTTCGGTTTCACCCAACCAAGTATTACAGGTTCTGAAATCTATCAACTTTAACAGAATAAACTTAATCGTCACGGAACTTCCTGTTCGTTCATAAATATAATGAACTTATCGTGATTTACCGACTTGATCGTTACGGTTTCATTAAAATATTAATGAATTAAGTTATCGATTTTACTGAATCAAACATTATTGATCGATCGCTGACGCTCGGTGCAAAAAGGTAAAATGAATATTTTT